CAGATGAGTATATTGGTTGATCTGTATCACATGATCACAATAGACAGAATTTTGAAGCACTCATGAATTGAGTTTACAATAAATTATTTACAATTATGTCTGGATTGAATATTAGATGACTTTTAATTTATATGTTTACAGAAGATTAGAAATACTTTCAATTAAAGTTACTTAATAACATTTGCAGTGCTAGCTATGCATACCGGATGATTGAAGAATTATTTCACTGATGTTCAAATAAAATTATTTCCCTAATGTCCAAATAAATGTTAATTGTAGTGATGTCAAATAGCATGACCTCTCTACTCTACATCTAGCAGGTTGCTGACCACATCAAAGGTACAGACCAATATTTAATATGCACTTTGTTTAAGGAAATACTTATAGATCTACTAGAAGGAAAAAATGAAGCTGCTGGCTATGTTGTGTTTTTCTTGTCTCTATTGTTAGTTGTATAAAATTGCATGATCTAATATTCTCATTCATTTTCAACTTTAGGTGTCAATGCTGCTCAAGGGCTGGAGCAAGAGTGTACTAGATTCATGAGTCAATCACTGGTCAGATACAGAGCAAAGAATTTAAAAAGTAGTGCAATTGGAAGTCCCTTAACTGAGGCAGTCAGAGTCTTGCAAGAGTACCAGTTCAATTGTTCATCTACTATAACCAGTCTTATATTGGGGATTGATATAAGAGCAGGTCATAGACTTCTTCCCAGTGTTCAGGTCTTTCGAAAAATTGGTGGCAGCAGTCAATATGACCTAGTGATTGGAAGTGAGAGAGTTATCTATTATGGGACTAGTAATGTCAGTACCAGTGGAGTGTTTGAATATCCACTCAATCCTCCTGTACCAGTAATGAGTGGAGACCTGCTAGCTGTATCACAACCATCTCCAGCCTTTAGCATAGCTAGAGTGCATTACATTGATAATGTTCCAGGAGTCAGATTCAGTAGCAGCCAACATGCATTTGGCACTAGAAGTGGTGTCAACTTAAACAACTCTTTAATCACCAATCAGTTGATCTTAGTTTATCCAGTAACAGGTATATTTATAATGCATTATCATTGTAGTATAATTAATACATATTACTATCATTAGATGGATACTGTGTTAACAGTATCAATTCAATCACTCCTTCAATTGTTAGAGAATATGGTTTTAAAGTTCACCAATCACAAATTTTTTCCAGTAGACGGCAGTATTTATATCCTGACATGCTCTTCTCTTGCAATGGATCAGTTACTAAATTCACTTTCGTTAGTAGTGGATCAGAAAAACAATCAGGATGCTTTGGTGGAATTCCAGATATGGC